AAATAATACCTAACTGAACAACAGCAAATAAAAATATACGTATGAGTTATGCCAAAACTTATCCACGATCCAGTAATTTTATTGCAGATTCTGCAGATAGGTATGTTAAAAATATATTGTAAAATTTGATGTACATACCTTTTTTGTTGTTACCTGCTTGATGTATATACAGTTTCAAATAAAACTACCGTATTCAATTTCACTACGAACGCACACAAAACAGATCGCGCTCTGTATCTCAGCCACGATGCAGCTGTCTGTTCACTCAAATAGAAGGGGCAATAAGCTTTTGCAGTTCTAACGGAAAGTTTTAATACTGAAGAAGGGACCCCTCTAGCTTTCTCTTGAATAGCCATTCTTTCATTCTTCTGAACTTCAGTCAAAGATTCGAAAATCCAAAGAGTGTAAGCGGTGCTAGCAGAAGACCAAATGATTTTATTGCTTCCATCTGTTTTATGACACCAGGGACTGCTAAAATTTGTCAAGTGTTACAAACAGAAATGAATTTATAATGCAGAACAACTCTGTGAAGAACTGGGAAACAATTTTTGCAGTACGCATCAAAATTAAAACACAAAAAATTGAAAATAGAGTATAACACTTTGTATTAAAAATTTCAAATCTTCCGTTATAATATGCGACACTATGATCTTTGCTGATATAAATGAAGTTAAGACCATCCATTTATCATAAAAATTGTGCTAGATACAGCATTTTTAAACACAACGCTTAAAATTGATTAACCGCCTAACAGGAACGGACATTTAAACGCAAGGCAGCAACGGGCATTTAAACGAGCACCAGCAGCGGGCATTTAAATAAACTCCGGCCAGCTCAAGTTTACCACTATTTCGAAGTCCGGCGTTTAAAGGATACCTTTATTCATGCTAACTCATTGCTTTCCAGGGGGGTGTAAGGCCGCCTATAATGACGTCTTGTCCCAAGTGGTTGGCTGGGATCCTTAGGGTGTACACACCCCTTCTACTGCTAGACCATTTGGCTAACACTTTTATCTGCAAACGTCTCTCCCTTCATTCAAGTGTAAATTCTGTAGTTAGCAGTTCGATATACATTCAACATCAATCTACTGACAAGGCATCGACGTGTCAAAGGCTAACAACTCCATACGCAGAAATTCCTTGAAGTTTCTTACCCTTCTTACATCCTCTTTCGTACGTCTTACAAGTACTTCCCAAGACTAATTCTATCCTAACCAATATTTTCCCCTAAAATACAAGAAGTTAAATACTCTTTTAACATATTACAGGAAGTCGGCCTTCACGGCACAACACTGATGCAGCCCTTCGTAACACGGCTGAAAGAAAGATGATTACTTGTGGGCATTAGTTATATATAATTATGGTTCTCAATTTGGATAGGCAAGAAAGGCTAATCTTTGATAGCTGAAGAACAATTATATCTTTTTTATTAGAAGAGGAAACTAATAGCAGTTAGATTTGCGAGTTGGGGTTTTATCCGGCAGAAAAATACTGTGCTTATTTATTTCCTGTCATAGCGGGCTCCGTAGTCTAAGGGTAACGTTCCCACATCATGACTCAAGGTACGCGGGTTCAAACCCGGCGGAGGTCGTGGAATTTTTAGGGGCGGAAATATTCAGGGAGTCAGTCCTCCGGGAGGGACTTTAAGCAGTGGGTCCCGTGTCGTAGATTTACAGCACGTAAAAGAACCTCATGCCTCTAGGAGGCCTCTGAGCTAAATTAGGCCAGAAGTTTCCCGCCCAAATAGTTTCCAATGCGTCCGATAGATGGGGAAGTATTAGGTACCACTGCCAGAGGAGGGACGACCTCGCTGACAGAAAGGGACTAATTATTAGATACCACTGCCAAGTAGAAGGTAGAAACCTCGCTGGAAGAAAGGGACTGATAGCGAGCACCAGTATCGGTAGGGGATGGAGACGGTAGAAATTAAAATGGGGGTGTACAATAGACTATCAGTCGCGGTGCATGAGGAAACCCACCCCCTCAATACTGAATCACTGAATTTCCTGTCATTTGGCTAATAAAGATTTATGATATCTAATACTGTTTCCATTTGTTAGGTGTGGATTTCATACAAAATTCCAGGCCTTGCATCAAAATGGATGTTGAGAATAAGAGCTTTTCTGGTTGGAATTTGTATGCTGACTACGATTTCAACAATAATTCCAGGAATCGTTGCTTTCTACGAATATCGAGGTAATATTACAATTAGAATTTTATACACAGAAATGATGTGGTATTATCGATGGAACAACTATTATGGATATTATTTAAGTCTGCGAAGGAAAATCATTCTTGAGAAAGTGATGGGTTGGTTAGCTTGCAAAGACCTTCTGTTATGGAATCCGGAAATTTATTGCGTGTTCACAACAGCCAAACACTTGAACCTATTGCATACATTCCACAAGTCACATCCTACTTACGTAAGATTCATTTTGACATTGTCCCTCATCTACGTCTTGGTATTCAAACTGATATTTTGCCTTCACCATTTCCACTTATATTCTGTCTACATTTCGTATCTTTCCCATGCATGCTATATAAACTACCAGTTGTATTATCTTAGATTTAATGGCTGTGGTTTAAAAACATTTTGTGAGTTGTGTATATTGTGAAGTTTCTCGCTAATCCTCCTGTTGGTTCCTCTACTTGAAGCACAAACATACTCCTCAGCACCCTATTTTTTTTAATTCGCCTAGGGGTGGGTGGAGTCCAACTGGGTTCACTCAGCACGGCGGCCACTGATTGTCCTATTGTACCTGTCCCGGGCGATTATGGTGATGGAGAAGTCGATGGAATGAAGATTGGCAGGGGAAACCAAAGTACTCGGAGAAAACCCTCCCCAGCGCCCCCTTGTCCACCGCAAATCCCACTTTACCAGACCCGAGATTGAACCCGGGCCGCCGCGGTGGGAAGCCAGCGACTAACCGCTTGAGCTATGGCGTGGTCTCAGTATCCTGTGCTCACACCCCGAATTTATGTTCATATGCTACCGAGACGACATATAAAACAGTATAATTTTCAATGAATATGATTTTCAGTTAACAGTTGTATGTAAGCGTATGCCTAGAGCCTCTGAGTGTACCTAGCTTATTGTGACCTCAATACGAATGTTCTGACAGGTTCGATACGGCAAAAGTGGAAACCTGAAGATGGCGGCTGGGAATTACATCTGACGAGCGCAATATCCGAGTGGATTCTCTGCATCACGTACTGCTTTCTCATATGTTCTTTCGTGCCTGATTTCTATAACCTAGAAATTGAGGCTCCTATTGTAAAATTAAAAAAGAATGAAAATTCGTATAAAGACGTAATATAATGTTGAGAAGTACGGGAGTGTATTTAAGGTAAAAAGTAAAATAATTTCTTCTTCTAATGCAGGGATTCCACAACGTTCAGAACGCCTTATTATTGGTTCTGGATAATGTGGCGTGTGAGATTTTTGTAATGGGGGGTGGGGCATATGATTGTAGTTAATGATTAATGAATTCACAGTAAAATCCTACAATTTTATTTGTTTTCAAGCATACATATATTGTTTTAATAAATGTAAACTGCACATATGTACCAACGAGGAAGTGGGTGTACTGAACCGAGGGCTTAGTTCACAGAGACCCAGCATTCCCAGTCTGTTGGTTGCACGTGTATATATGGACAGAAGGTTACTTCATTCAAGCATTAAGGCTTATTAATTTTGTGGCATAAAATTGGATACATTGTGACTCCGTTACCTTGAAGTGTGGCAAATGAATTGTTGAAATAAAAACTATGTACCATTCTCTTGAAGGCCATTTAACTAATTTGTCAGTATTATACAGAATTACTGGGTTCTTGGACTTCTTCCATCGTCCGCAATTCCAGGTAGTAGAGGATACGATGTTTCGGAAACTGGACCTGTTTCCGTCTTCAGGGGAGAAATGAAGATACCTACTCATTTGGGGCCCTTAGAAAGAGCTAATCTTAATCACTGGACCTTAGCTTTTTCTAAGGGGCCCAACTGCGTAGGTTTCCTTTCTCACCTGATGACGGAAACAGATCCAGATCCGAAACGTCGCGTCCTCTATTACCTATAATTCCGGACCGTGGAAAAAGACCAAAAACCCTGTAATTCTGACTGTCATCCACCATCGTAAGAACGCTTTAGAATCTACTTGTCAGTATTATCTATAACTTTCCCTTTTCGTCGGTATTTTTAAATTCACTCGTAGCTTTGCAGGGTCATTCCTTAAACACTGTATAGGGCCTAAAAGATACTCCATGGTACCCCGCATATATACAAAATTTGTTGCAATCTATCCGACATTCGTATATTAAAGTATTAAAAAACTCCGTGGCCTGTAGTCCGCAAGCGAACTATACCGACCGAGCGACCGCCGCTTGTCGGCGAAATTACTGCCAACTTTATCGGATAGAGGGTGTTATGTGGTCAGCGCAACTGATCCCCACTGCCGTTAATCTCGGTTTTCTATACCGGAACCGCCACTCCCTTGAAATAGCTCCTCAGTTATCCTCATGAGGCTGAGTGGACCCCGTTCCAGACCCACTACTTCTCAGAAAGTATGATAGAGCCGGGAATCGAACCCGGGACCTCTGGATCTGTAGCCAGGATCTCTGGCCACTAGACCACAGAGGCGGTCCAAGGTCGTAGTTCACAAAGTTTAAAACTTTTACGTATTCAAGATGAGAACTTTTTCTCTTATGTGTATAACTCTTCACCCCTCGGGATTGTTCCTTAGCGGAGCGATCAATGTTGTAGCCTGCAACTTTCCACAACTAAACAGCATTTTCTCTTTTAATGGACTAACAAAATCAAATTCCGCCAATACGCATGTATTGAAGTTCAGTCACACCCAATTTGTCAAATTTGTATGGGCATCCAGCCACATAGACACGCGCAGTAAAACTTGTGCTTATTCACACAGGTCTGCGAAACGAGTCTAATATTAGATACTGAAGGATTCTGACGATGGTGTAAAACACTTAGGATTACCGGGTTCTTGGACTTTCTCCACCGTCCTCTATTCTAAAAGACACAGGTCCAGTGATTGTGGTCAGCTCTTTCTGACGGTCCCAACAGAGGATGTATCTCTCATCCCTCACCTGAGGGCGGATACAGATCCAACTTCTGAAACGTTGTTTTCTACGCGTTTTTATAATATTGGATTTTGGACGAAGTCCAAAAACCAGCAATCTCAAGTCACAGATAATTTTAAAAAAGTAACAACTATTGCTCGACAAGTGTAAAGGTCAACATTCGTTCCAGAAGGCTATAGGTTACTAATCTTAGAATTTTTCTTATCATCGTCTAAGATCAGAGATAGATATAAAACACTCTTTCCGAACTTCACCCATTTTTTTCCTTGGTATGCCGATTTCTGTCTTTCTTCAAGGACGCTGAATTAGACCTTTCAGAAGACTGTCAGAACGCATCCTAATAAAACATTCTTTCCACTTCTGTTTATGTTTTGTTTATATTTTGTCCTAAATGCAAATACCCATATTCTTGGAGAGTATGTTCTTCTGGGTTATAACTGCATGTATTTCGGTAGAAGCCAGTGGGAGTTTCGAAGTAAGGTATCATTTCCATTTTCAGAATCGAATAGTAAGTGAGACAAGCAAGCGGCACTGTAGCCTGCTTCTTACTGAATCCTTGCTTGGCTTACTCTTCGGTCCGGAAGATGTAGGCGAAAAGTTCCTTCGAAACGTCAGTGGACTTTTACCGAAGAACACAGAGCTATGACCGTTTGAGGTTTCCGCAGCGGTGGTTATGAAGAGTTCTACCTTCTGTACTATAACGCCATGTAGTCCGTTGAAACTCAACCCACGTTTCGGAGGAACATGTCGCCTTCATCTTCAACGTCGAAGAATAGGCTGAGCAAGAAACCAGCGTGAAAGTAGGTGGCAAGGAGAGCTTGTAAGGCTGCGAACTCGCCTAAAACGGTTAACATGTAAAACCAAAGCAAAAATAAAGTACTGATCAACGAGATATAGTTGGGCTGCTGACTGAAGAAAGCAGAAATGTACCCCAACAGCAGGCATACTCAGGTCAGTATTATGAATGTCGGCTCTATGCTGATCTACAGGGAGACTCTGAAAGTATGCTGAGCAGTATACACTTAACAGGCGCTTTCGGCATAAGGAATTTAAAACGAAATAATTACAACTACATGGATTTCCTCGCATAATGAGAAGTCAAAACCGCAGCCTGAACGAACAGATTCTTAGTATTAACGTTGCAATGTTCATTGTCATTACATGCCGCCTCACTTCTTCTCCGCCTCCTCCTCCTTCTCCTCCTTCTGCTTTTTCTCAGCATCCTCCTCCTCCCCCTCCTCCTTCTGCTTCTTCTCCGCCTCCTCCTCCTACTTCTCCTCAGCTTCCTCCTTCTCCCCCTGCCTCTTCTTCTCCTCCTCCTTCTCCTCCTCTTCCTTATTCCGCCTCTTCTTATTATCCTCCTTCTCCTCGTCTTCCTTCTTCTTCTGATTCTTCTTCATCTTCTCCTCCTCCTTCTTCCTCTTCTTCTTCTGCGAGAGCTACAGTCCACGATGAACCTTGGCCTCTTTCACGATTGCTCTCCATTGGTCCCGATCCTGCAACTTCCGTCTCATTTAGGTGCTTCCGTCCGGCTGCAGTATTTAAAAGCTTCTCGATAAATAAGGCTTTTTATGGGGTGGGGTTTCAGCCCTACGCCTAACCTTCAACCCGGAGGATCAGGGTATTTTGGACCATCACATTTGACCTGTCTGCCATGGGAGACTCTGCCAGTAACAACGCTACCGCCAGCATAAATATGAGGATCATCGAATTAAAGTTAAATAACTGCCACCAAATTCTGTGAGATATATAATAATTGTCTCTATTTTTGTTGCAAACATTCTTTGTGCAATAAGCATTTAACGAGACGCTCGGAATCACGTAGGTATTCACGTAAAATGGTCGTTAAATTTGTCCAGTCTAAATGGAAATTCAATACTTGTTCTCTAATCTCAAATTTCATGAAAATCTGTCCGGCGGTTCTGGAGTTGTTTGATGCATATGAGCCGACTCAGCGAACTTCATATGGGCTTCGTAATGTTTCTAACTCGCCTAAAGCGGGTTCCAATAACGAAAGTGTGTTATAAAAATGAGATTAGAATTACGCGGTAGCAACACACATTTATGGAAGTTGGTTACGAATTCGGGGAGCCTTAACAACTCAGAAGGGGGTTATAAAGAACAATTGTAAACAACAAAATATCCTTGTAAAATGAGTAATCTCAGCTCACCGTCCAGAATACAGCGGTGGCAAGCCGAGGTGGAGGCTACTACAGGGTTTCAGAGATATCCTGTTGCGTGAATCACACCTCAGCCATACAGCTGAAAATGTATTACCTATTCCATATATATCATGTAACTTCTGATTCTTATGACCGAAAATGCAACTCAATTAAAGGAAGGAATTGCGCTGCATTTTGATTCTATAAAGCGGCTGATCATAATAACATTAAGTGGATGGTTAGAGTTTCAGAACGCGCGAAAGAAGCTAGAAGCAACTATTTACGCTAGTACTACTTAAAAGAATTTCTAACAGCTCTTGTGTTGATTTATCAGGGCTGAATCCAGGGACCTCGTGAACTCCAGTAATGCTATTTAATAAACATTTTGAAACTTTTAATGAAGAAAATAATTTCTTTACTTGTCTGAAAAGGTAAAGTTATACGTGGACTTAATTTCTGAAGGGCCACAATACGCAGATGTATGGTGGAGTGGAGGTGTAGCCGCACCATCCTCAGTCTCGGCACTAGGCATTGCTGAGTTGTCAGCTCCATGTCTCTGACGCCTTACCCCAGTACCCAGAGCTCGTCTGGACATTATGGAGCGGAGAAAGACCTCTTTGGTATTTAAATTTACTTGTCTAAACGAAAGGAAAATTTAATTAAAATGTAAATCAATAGGCGATTAAATAAAGATAATGAAGATGAAAACAACGACAGTCCTCGTAATAACATGCTTAGGCATGACGTAGTGGCGGAAGAAATACACCGGAAAATTATAGACTACTGTTTACAACATTACATGTATCATTTGCAAAATTTATTCGGAATTATTTTCCTTCGAATACTTAAATTTGTATGGTGAGGATGACAGGAACTATATAATAACGATACAAACAAACAAAACAAACGCCCTGGTTTTAGTCCGCGAGCGAACTGTACCGACCGAGCGACCGCCGCTTGTCGGCGAAGTTAGTGCCAACTTTAGCGGATAGATGGTGTCGCGTGGTCAGCGCAATGAATCTCCACAGCCGTTAATTTCGGTTTTCTAGACCGGAGCCGCTATTTCTTTGAAATAGCTCCTCAATTACCCTCACGAGGCTGAGTGAATCCCGTTCCAGACACACTACTTCTCAGAAAATCTGATAGTGCCGGGAATCGAACCCGGACCTATGGATCTGTAGCCAGGAACTCTGAGCACAAGATACGGAGGCGACCTTCGCGTAAGGCTGACAACCTTACCGCCATCTGTGAGCCGATTGTGTAGACAATGTGGGACCCTAAATATCTCACAACCCTATTGGCCTCCATGGTCTGTTACAGGTATATAATAATAATAATAATCATCGTACACTTGACCTAATCCTTCCAGCCGTACTATGGCCCTAGTTCCCCTGCGTAGACCCAGCCTCTAATAGATTTGAGTACCAGGAATCTTCATTGGAATTTTTTCAGTTGACCTAATCCTTCCAGCTCCACTATGGTCCTGGGGTTTACTCAGCCTCT